AAAAAAAAAAAAAAAACAAGAAGGGGGGCCAACACTTTTTCACACCACTGTATATTTAATATGAAAATGGTTCACATTAAGTTATATGCTATTTGTGTAGTTAAATAAATCATATAAATATAAACAACAAAGCATTACATAAATGTGACCCTGGACCACAAAACCAGTCTTAAGTCGCTGGGGTATATTTGTAGCAATAGCCAAAAATACATTGTATGGGTCAAAATGATAGAGTTTTCTTATATGCCAAAAATCATTAGGATATTAAGTAAAGATCATGTTCCGTAAAGATATTTTGCAAATTTCCTACCATAAATATATCAAAACTTAATTTTTGATTAGTAATATGCATTGCTAAGAACTTCATTTGGGCGATTTTCTCAATATTTAGATTTTTTTGCACCCTCAGATTCCAGATTTTCAAATAGTTGTATCTCGGCCAAATATTGTCCTATCCTGACAAACCATACATCAATGGAAAGCTTATTTATTAAGCTTTTTTTGAAAAATTGACACTTAAGATTGGTTTTGTGGTCCAGGGTCACAAATATGGTTGATATATATACTGATGGATAAATATAAGATGCACACTCACAATCAGACCAGCGGCTGAGATGCTAAATAGCAAGCACAGCAGGTAACACCACAGACTCCGCCTCCTCGGATATCTCTGTCCAATCGAAGATCTGGTGAAGAAAAATAGAGAGAAAAAAAGACCAATCAGAGGAACAGCAGGGGATATGGAATGGAATATGCAAAACTATTTAAAGGCGAAGTGTGTAATTTTTGTACCATTAGCACTATAGCACTAATTATAAAAATAATGACCCGCCCCAAACTCATGCCATTGGCTGAGCCTATGTTGCTTTGTCTGTATGCTCAAACAAACAGAGCAATGTTTTGACAAGAGCCACAGATATGAGGGAATCAGTCAATGAATGGCTTAGTTATAGTCTCTATGTAATAAGCTAGGACAGGATGTTAAAATGTTATGGGACATTTATCAAAATTGAAAAAAATTACAGCCTGTAAAAAAAGGCAGTAATGCATTTCAGAAGCTAAAGCTGTGTACAGGGGGCTTAGACAGGCATTAAATGCTGACTTATTTGCCATCTAATAAAAGAGTTTGATTTATTTGGTAAATGCAAAATGTGTTGTGAATGTTGGCTCAGAAATACTCACACTTTTCTGCAATGGGGGCATCGAGCCAGTGTCCTGTCTGTAAATTCGGTCCACTGAAATGTTGAGAAAGTGGTTGAGCAGCTAATGTGAGGCAGTAGCATAAATAAAACAAGAATAAATTGCCATCTGATATTCGACTTTAACTTGATGCTGAACCTGAGCCGAGTGATCCGGTCAAGATGTCACTGCAGCGGAGAATGATACAGTATGATGTTGCTGTACTGTGTGTGTATGTACCAGGAAAGTGTTGCTGCAGTGTCCGCAGGAAACTCTAGCTCCAGCAGGTTGTGGTTCTGGACTGGCTGGACCCGGATGGACTGGCCCCAAATTTATGATCCTCTTACTAGTCCAGACATGGAGACAAACACATTCAATTCTTCGCATACACAATCCTGACTGTGACAAGACGATGTGTATTAGCGTCAAAGATTTCATTTGTCTTAAATTTAACTGTGTCTACTTCTGTTCTCTCTCTTACCAATAAGGCCGAGGGCAGGCGATCCTTTGGGATGTGACCTTGCAGATGAGAAGACAGTTACAAGGACACCGCACATATTTCTTCCCCGCAGGGGCATTCTTTATGGGCTGGAGAGAATGAAGGTTAATTAAAAAAATAGAAGGGAGGAGAGAGACAGAAAAGAGACAGAGTTAATTCTGGCTACGCAAAAACTAAAGTGTGTGTGGTTACTAAATGAAGTGATTTTATGTTTTGGCACTGTTAATCGATTACAAATTTCAATCAAATTAAATGTACTGTATGTAATGTTGAATCATTCAATGTATATACACTACTATTAAAATTAAGTTAAGTCTTGGTGAGCATAAGATACTTCTTTCTAAAACATTTTACTAACCACAATCTTTTGAACGGTAGTGTATCAATATTTGCTGACAGAAGCCCATAAACCGTCAATCAATTTGAATCAATTACTCAATTTGCGGCTCAAGATTTTTTGGCATTGATAAAAATGTATTGTTTACAGTCATGAACAATAAAAGTATTTTGAACTGAATCAATAGCTGTAGCATGCAAACAGTTATTAACAATAAACAAGTCCAAACTTAAGAATTTAACAATTGTTCAAAAGTTGACATGCTGCTAACTAATGAATCCTTCCCGAGTTTTGTAAAATTATGTATTAAGTAGTGTATATGTGCTCTGTCCCAACTCACTGTAGCTTCATTGCAGACTCCGCACTTGACCACATGTTGGTGAATTTTGCCCTCAACGCTGATGAGCGACTGGCACACCCTACAGCTGATGACTGGGGCACTGCCACTCTCTGGAGACGTCAGGGGGGAATATGGTGGAGGGTTCTCGCCCATCAACAGAGGGGGCTGAGTCGAGCTCGGAAACGGAGGAAAACCTAAAAAGGGAGCGATTGCCATTGCAGATTATGATAAACATTCAGTATGCAAGTTTTACTGTACCTGAAATCAGGATGAAATTAAAATTCACCCTATCTATTATCAAAATGCATGTTATAGATCTTATTGTGAACGATTTATCAATGTATGTGTAGTTTTTAACTTTTTTTGACATCTCGATCACGACTTCAACGCTGTAAATGTTTCATTTATACAGTACATCCATAATTTCTGAATAACAGCATCAGTATTATCAGTTTAGCATAGATACAGGAAATACTGGCTCATAAAATAGCGTAAAACATGAAAGTTTAATTTACCTTTCAAAGTTTAACTAAACACTGAAACTTGCACTTTGGGAAGGTGAAACAGTTCTGTCACCCAGGCCATTAGGATTAACAAGAAAATCAGATTTGGTCTCGAGATCTGCTGAAAGGAGCTTTATAAGGAGACTGCTGGAATGTGCCTAGTGGATCATGTACACATTTGCCTATAATTGTGGGGGCCAAATTTTTGAAAATGTCCTCACAAATATAGTGAAACATGTTAAAACTGATTTGAGAGGATATTTGAAGTAGTTCTTACTCTTTGAAAGCTCTCAAAATCAAGTCGTAAACTCCATACAAAACCCAACGCGTGTATGATAAAACTTAAATATGGTTTTCATAAAAATTCACCACATTAGTTAAAAATCCCCACACCAACATCATCAGCACGCCCTTTAGTAACTTTTTATTGGCCCCGCCCGCTCTGCGCAATGATTGGTTGAGGTTTCCTCAGGCAATAATTTCAGGCTTTCTGAATGGTCCAAAGATGTGCTAATCACATGTGTTTGGGTGTAGCTGGAGTTTTCGAATTCGGCAGATTACTGTAAAAGTGTACTAGTGCAGAGACGCACGACTCACCGGTAAATGTGGTTAAATGGGGACAATGAAACCTCAAATCAGTCATATGACTAGTTTAAGAAAATATTGCCCCTTTAATATTATAATTTGTCGCGGGAAGGCCGGTAACAGAACAGTAAACAGACCTGGACAACCCAACAGTGATGTTCATTCATTAGCTGCGTAACCGCCTCTCTAATGGATGACAAATGTATGCAAGGATCAATTCAACCTTAATTTTTTTGACAAAATAATATCATCCTCCCGACGCAGGTGTATCGTATGCAACTGCATTAAGTTATATGCGGAGCAGCCAGAAAACCATCTATTCAGGTCCTGCCTCCATCATCATCACCAGCGTGCAACATAAAGCAAGAATAACCGCACAGAACTGTACCTAACCTAAATCGTAGTAAATGCAGTAGTGTGCTTGTATATGTGTGTGTGCGCGCGCGGGCCCGTGACAGCGCAGAAAAGCGCCGCGCTCGCTACTCACTCTGTGGTTTGCTCGGAGCACCGTGTGGAGCTGCTCCGGGAGACACCCCGCCGTTACCACTGCCGAGAGCTCCATCACCGAGATCCGAGAGCAGCGGGGACCGCTCGCCATCCGCCATACCGAGAGCGAGGCGTAAAGAGGGGGAGCGGCGAGAGCTTGTATTGTTGTGCTACCGGAGTGTGTATGGAGCCCGCCTGCGTCACACTGGTACGTCCGCTGCTGTGGTAACGCGTGTGCGCATCCGTGCGCTCGGGGGGTGTATTACATGATAAGTTACCCCTGAGCAATAACGCACGAAACGCTGTTTATTCTGTCACTTACTGCCATTTCAAAGATCACTATATACGCAAGAGGTGTGTCTTCTCAAAAATGTGTGCAGGCAGAAATGAAGCACATTCTTATACAGCTTGTACAGTTGCTTGTGCCCTCTAGAAGCTTGCGTTCTGTAAGTGAACTTCGCTGTATTGTGCCATCCTAAAGAGGCACAAAATCACTTCCACGGACTTTTAAATTAAATGTTCCCTCCTGGTGGAACACATCTCTGAAGATTTAAGATGTAAAAACACACCTCTTCCATCTTTATTTGACCCTCTAACTCTATCACTCTCTATTCTAATTCTATTCTTTATATATATGTAGAAAACGTGCCCCTTTTAGACTTGCACTCTATTTATTTATTTACTAACTGCTTGTTTTCTTTAGTAAAAAACAACAACAACTAACACTGGCTTCTCTAATCTTTTTTGTATTCTATCTATTTGATTTCTTTTTATTATACAATTAACAAAAGCAAAAAAGGTATCTAACAAGCTTGCTCTGTTCTTTTTCTATTCTGTTTTCTTTTTATTTATTATATGATTTAAAAAAAAAAACTTGCTACGTGTACTGCATTAAGCTAACTGAGACTTGTTATTGCACTTGCATATCATTGCTCTTTTGTTGATTGCTTCCATTGTCCTCATTTGTAAGTCGCTTTGGATAAAAGCTTCTGCTAAATGTCTAAATGTAAATGTAAAGTGTCTATAGGAAACACCAGTAACAAGCATTTATATGTTCTATTCTTCATTAGAAGAATATGATCAGAATAAAACAGTGGTGCAGTATAAGTGCAGTGGTGAATACAAAGATTTTTAGCAGGCACCTGTTCCTCTTTGTCTTTGATTAGTAAGGTATAGTGTATTCAGGGACATTAAATAATAGTCTAATAGTCAATGGAACAGTTTATGGAACCTTTAGACTATATAACACACACACACACACACACACACACACATATATACAGTATATATAAATAGAAAAATTGTTTTGTATCATATTTGATACACCAGTGGCTCTCATAGTTGCTGTTATTTATGTGGCCAAAATATAAGTTCTAAGTAATTCTATAGCTTGTAATGTAAATCAATGAGATTTATAACAGTTTAGCACTTTATAACAGTACAGCATTAGCAGACAACTTGCATAAATTGCATATAAATACTACTTGTTATACTATTTGTCTGAATAATAGGTCTTATTAAGATGATGCTTATGGTAAATGTTTTTATGGTCAAATCTCCTTGCCAGCTAAGCCAATGCAATTGTATCATTTTTACAGTTTGCCTTAAAATATATTTTGAAAACATGAAGAGAAGCAATCACGAATTAAAAGAATTCACCATTTTAAAATGAAAAGAGAAATAAAAGAGTTTTATAGTATTGAATAACTGGACAGCAACATATAAAGGTACTTCTTACATAGGCACCTATTCCTTTCCACTTGGATTGACTTGATTCGGAAACATTTTATGTTTGTTTCCTGGTTCTAGTGCTATAAGTGAGGTTCATGTTTCCGGGTTGAATTCAAGACTGTCAGTGGAAGGCTGCAGAACTGTATCTGTAGAAGTTGTCAGCACTGTCTGTTCTGAACTGATGCAGCTCATGGTTCAGTCACTCTCTCTGTGTTTCTCTCAGGTCAGGTTGATGCAGTCCATTGGTCTGTTCATGGGCAGTGTAATCTCCAGTTCTTCTCTCTCCACAATGAATCTGGCATTCCCCTCCTGTTTGTGCACTGGGTGAGGCAGGTGAAGACCCAACTTACTGAAACAAAAAAGATGCACAGATATTTACATACAGTATGTAGTGAATACTATGTAAAACATTTTACCTATAGATTACTTACTACTTTGGAGTTCTGAGATCAAGAAATGTCTCCCTTACATCCAGCACCAAATCAGACGCTTTTGTATCTGGCAGTTTAACTCTTACCTTGCATGAGAAAAAAGAGAGATTTTGTGAGATTACACTGACAATACAACTTTTAAAATGAAGATCAGATCAGTCATTTGAGGACAGTCAAATGTTTTTACTCCAGTCAGCTTTTGCTATCTACATGCACCATCAAAGCCAACTCTATCTCTTTCAGGGAGGAGAAAGGATGTTTCAGACCTCAGCCTTTTTTTCTTCTTGCTAAATCTCGTTGCTGAATCTTAAACTTTAGATCTTTGAAACTTTAAATTAGTTTAAAAGGGGGGAATTTATAGTGTGGAAATCCACAATACTTAGAGTTGAGATTACAATTTATTCAATATTTCTCAACAGCTATGCTAATTACTGTGCACTGAAGTGAATTGTAACTCTTCAGAAAGTTCCATGCAACTCGTAAGCAACTTAAAGGAATTGATCACCCAAACACACACACACACACACACACACACACATATATACAGTATATATAAATAGAAAAATTGTTTTGTATCATATTTGATACACCAGTGGCTCTCATAGTTGCTGTTATTTATATGGCCAAAATATAAGTTCTAAGTAATTCTATAGCTTGTAATGTAAATCAATGAGATTTATAACAGTTTAGCACTTTATAACAGTACAGCATTAGCAGACAACTTGCATAAATTGCATATAAATACTAGTTGTTATACTATTTGCCTGAATAATATGTCTTATTAAGATGATGCTTATGGTAAATGTTTTTATGGTCAAATCTCCTTGCCAGCTAAGCCAATGCAATTGTATAATTTTTACAGTTTGCCTTAAAATATATTTTGAAAACATGAAGAGAAGCAATCACGAATTAAAAGAATTCACCATTTTAAAATGAAAAGAGAAATAAAAGAGTTTTATAGTATTGAATAACTGGACAGCAACATATAAAGGTACTTCTTACATAGGCACCTATTCCTTTCCACTTGGATTGACTTGATTCGGAAACATTTTATGTTTGTTTCCTGGTTCTAGTGCTATAAGTGAGGTTCATGTTTCCGGGTTGAATTCAAGACTGTCAGTGGAAGGCTGCAGAACTGTATCTGTAGAAGTTGTCAGCACTGTCTGTTCTGAACTGATGCAGCTCATGGTTCAGTCACTCTCTCTGTGTTTCTCTCAGGTCAGGTTGATGCAGTCCATTGGTCTGTTCATGGGCAGTGTAATCTCCAGTTCTTCTCTCTCCACAATGAATCTGGCATTCCCCTCCTGTTTGTGCACTGGGTGAGGCAGGTGAAGACCCAACTTACTGAAACAAAAAAGATGCACAGATATTTACATACAGTATGTAGTGAATACTATGTAAAACATTTTACCTATAGATTACTTACTACTTTGGAGTTCTGAGATCAAGAAATGTCTCCCTTACATCCAGCACCAAATCAGACGCTTTTGTATCTGGCAGTTTAACTCTTACCTTGCATGAGAAAAAAGAGAGATTTTGTGAGATTACACTGACAATACAACTTTTAAAATGAAGATCAGATCAGTCATTTGAGGACAGTCAAATGTTTTTACTCCAGTCAGCTTTTGCTATCTACATGCACCATCAAAGCCAACTCTATCTCTTTCAGGGAGGAGAAAGGATGTTTCAGACCTCAGCCTTTTTTTCTTCTTGCTAAATCTCGTTGCTGAATCTTAAACTTTAGATCTTTGAAACTTTAAATTAGTTTAAAAGGGGGGAATTTATAGTGTGGAAATCCACAATACTTAGAGTTGAGATTACAATTTATTCAATATTTCTCAACAGCTATGCTAATTACTGTGCACTGAAGTGAATTGTAACTCTTCAGAAAGTTCCATGCAACTCGTAAGCAACTTAAAGGAATTGATCACCCAAGCTTGTTTCTTCATCTGAACTGATTTGGGGAAATTTAGCATTACATCAGTTGCTCACAAATGGATCCTCTGCAGTTAATGGGTGCTGTCAGAATGAGTGTTCAGACAGCTGATAAAAACGTCATAATAATCCACAAGTAATCCACACAACTGGTTTATTAATTAATTTATACAACTGGTTTATTAATCACACAATTAATGTCTTGTGTGAAATGTGAAAAATCCATCCCTTATGGTCCTCTCAAATCAAAAGCCACCAACATATTTGTTTAGAACTGTTTTTGCTTGTAAACTGTGTTTGATCTGTGCATATCTCTCCCCTGATTCAGACAAGATTACTTTTTCACTGGAGAAAGCAATATTATGTATATAGGACTATTTCAGCGGGAAGCAAAGGTATAACGTTAAAAACATCTTAATGATGCATTTGTTTCTTACAAACATGCAGACATTCACTTCACAAGATATGAATTAATGGACTGAAGATGTGTGGATTACTTGTGGATTATTGTGATATTTGTATGAGCTGTTTGAACTCTCATTCTGACGGCACCCATTCACTGCAGAGGATCTATTTGTGAGCAACTGATGTAATGCTACATTTTTGAAGAAACAGACTCATCTACATCTTGGATGGCCTGAGGGTGAGTACATTTGTCAGCGAATTTTTACTAAAAAGTAAATGTAATGTTTCTAACACACTTAACATTTCTAACACACATGCTGTATTGATGTTTAAGATTTAATGAGTGAGGAATAAGGAGTACCAGCATGCTGTCACAACACATGGATGAGGGATCCTTTCTGCTCAAGCCAAGAAACAAATCTTCAGTCCCAACAGACTGTTTCAGCACAATCTCATACCTAATCAAAAACACACACGGTGAGAGGCAAGCTCACTTACAGCCCATATGTGATTCTGTCATGCATGTATTTTGTCTTACTCTGGCTGTGGCCTTGGGTCGGTGAGGTCATCAAAATGTGCTCCCTCTGTCACTTCATCCTCATCCCAGATGTTTTTGCTGTACTTCTTCACATAGGCAGTGCTACCTAGAGGGAAGAGAGAGATAAAAAGGATATAGAAGGATGCTTTAATGCTCTCAAAAGTGAACCCATAAATACCAGCATAATAATAAAAAAACATGTAACAATGTTTAACAAATTCAAAGAAATTATATAGCAATTCCAAAGTTAAAATACTATATATCAAAGTCAAGTGAAAATGTATTTCTATAGCACATTTAAAAGCAACAGAGTTGCGCCAAAGTGCCGTACAACAAAACACAGTATATAAAAAGCATAATAGGAAACATGCATTATATGAAAAATAAACACATTAAAATAGAATCAGGGCAAACTGACATCAAAACCTTAAACTGACATTAATCAAATGCCAGAGAAAACAAATAAGATTTGAGAACAGACTTAAAACTGGCTAGTGAGGAGCAAGTCTCACATTTACAGGCAAACTATTCCAAAGTTTAGGAGCTGCAGCTGAAAAAGCCAGACCACCTTTGGTTTTACTGCGACAACGTGGGACAGTTAAGAGAAGCTGATAACTAGACCTAAGTGCTCTTTGAGGAGAGTAAGGAATCAGAAGGTCACTGATGTATTTTGGTGCAAGACCAGATAAAGCCTAGTACACAAAGACAGCTATTTTAAAATCAATTCTAAACTTTACAGGAAGCCAATGTAAAAATTGTAAAATTGTAGTAATGTGATCCTCTTTTTTGTGTGTATATATATATATATATATATATGAAATCATCTATATTAAATATTTGTATTATAAAATCTAAAATTACTTTTAAATATGTATTATAAAATGTATTTATCTCTCTCTCTATATATTAAACATGATTAGCTATATTACATCATTTTATGCTATATAAATGCATTATACCCTCTTTGTTGTTTTTTCCCGAAGGTGCAGCAGGAGAGCCGATATGTCCCGGGCCCATCCTCGCCAAGGGCTTCACTTGCTAAAAAGAAAAAGAAAAAAAGGGCGGTTAATTATGAGTGGACTTACATCCTTACGCAAAAGTTCGACAGTCGACAATGTTAAGTAGCACTTGTTAGAAACTCAAACCTGGAGATCTTCTTCCTCATCTTCATTGTTTGGGGAGAGCAGAGCGGACAGCGCCTGGAGATCATGCACGGACGCGAGACCCTCCATCTCTGTTATTCGATAAGTTTGGACTAGAAAGTGAAGGTGAGTTTTATATAAACTTTCTTAGTACTTAGCGTCGCTACGCTGCTCTTCCGGGTGCTTCGTTTAGCGTTTCCATGGTGACTGACTGTACTAACAACCGTTGCTAGGCGTCACGGCGTTTTCGACTTTGTTATAACTCACAAAACCACTATCGATGCAAATCAGTTATCAATTGCAAATTTACAGCTGGCTTACTGTGAAGTCTTAGGTCTTAACTGATATAGTTGTATTTTAAA